ACATAAGGGATGCGGTAATTACAATAACACCACTACACCCAAACCAACATACATACATACACTCCAGACAGACCTACTGATTTAGCCCTTCATTTAGTTGCTGGCAGGATAGAAAGATCCCTGGAAAATAAGAACTCCGCCTTGAATGTTTTCATAGACATAGAAGGTGCTTTTGATAAAACCACCTTCCCAAAGATAAAACACTCACTAACCAACAGGAGTGTTCCACATATGGTTAATACAGAACATGCTCTCAAAGCGAGCAGTAAACATAAGTGAGAAGATGTGAACATAAGAGGCTTGGTTGGGAGGGGATGTCCACATTGGAAGGTGCTATTACCTCTACTGTGGAATATGGTCCTCGACACCCTAATTAGCCACCTTAATAATGACAGTCACTACACAATAGCATATGCAGATGACCTGGTCATTCTGCAAACAGGGAATTTTGAGAACATATTCTGCGAAAGAATGCAAGTAGCTCTAAATCTTATCTAACAGTGGTACAAGGACCATTTACTGTCTATTAATCCTGAGAAGACAGAAATGATCTTTTTCACAAGTAAAATGATAAAAATGAAACATAAAACCTTATAAAACCACTTCTTTGTCGATTTATTAAAGTCACAGTGATTATTCTTGCACAATTAGATATTCCAAAGACCTGTCATACAATAGTTATCAGTAGGAAGGGCTCATAAATCTATGGGGGTTGCGATATAGCTTTCCATCTTGGACGCTATTTTTATTTGAAATAGTAATCGCCAAGCCTGCCAATTTATTGAAAATGCATAAACGGTTTCTATAAAAATAATATTTTCATTATGTTTGACATAAAATACTTAAATTTTATTCATTAATTTTGATTTCTCGTATTGTAAATAGACTACATCGTATGTCGCAACCCTTTAGACATACCAAACCTTAGAACCGCACTTCATTTGTTTGGAATGCCTAATTTACACCAATGAGGTTGAATACTATAGAGATGACATGCCAAAAAAAAACGACAACCCTTCCCCCTCTCTTAGTGGTCATGTCATAGTTGTCAAAGAGCTGTCAGAACTTTGTTCAAATTTAAATATTTAGACGTTATTTCTATCTTAATAAGTGTTTTTCTTTTATTAATTTGTATAAAAATCATGACTAAGTGTGCCAAAATTAATTGTAAAAACTCTTCAGTGAAAGAGCGTAAGAAAATATCTAATTTAAATTTTCATAAGTAAGTATAAGGAGAGTACTTAGAATTTTTTTTAGAATGCTTAACTTTTTTTTTATAGGTTTCCAAAAGACACATAATATCTCAAAATTTGGTCTAAATTTGTGGGAAAAGACCAGCATGTTGTGCTCTATTCACTTCAAGGAAGAATTTTTTAATAAGAGTGAGTTTAGGGTCAGATTGAAGAAGAATGCTATTCCGACAATAAATGAATGTTTAGTTACTATACACTTTATTTATAATAAAACTTAAATAACTAACTTAATAAAGAACATTGGCTTGACTAACTTTATAATTAAGACAAATAACTATATTAAAACTTAGATAACTATAATAAAACTTAAATAACTAACTTTATAATTAAACTTATAAACCAACTATAATTAAACTTAAAAACCAACTTTAGTGGTCCCGTTGGTTGGTCCACTAAATTTAAAACTAAAAAAAAAAATAATTTTTTAAAAATTTTATTTAATACATATATATAAAAAGAATAGACACTTTCGAAATATATAAAAATTAAACCGATTGATCAAATGTTTATAATGATCTCTCTGCAGCATAGCAACGGCGGTCCTTTTATACTGCGTTCCAAATCCGCCTACTTGAGTCTTCTTTTCATCCAGAAAATCCTGTAAAGGTTTACAAAAGAAAACACATATCTTAATTAACAACGGTGACGTTATTAAAGAAGAAGAGACCAGATGGTTGTCATTCCAAAACATTGCATTTAACCAAAAAGTAAAAATATTGACATAAAACGTCAAACATGAAAAAACAACTAAAATGTCATAAACAAATCTGTTAAGTTCTTTGTGGGCTCGTCAAACAGGACGCGAGCACCACACCAACTTATAATTAAACTTAAAAACCAACTTATAATTACACTTAAATGACTAACTTTTTAAGTAACACATAATTTAGAATAAAATTTCAAGTATTTAAAAGCAGTTTTTATTAGATCCTAATTTCCTATTATTATACCGTTTTGATAATGAATATACTGTATAATAATAAATACTGGTGATGTATTTTTATTATTTAATTAGATTTGTGGCCATTACTCACTGCTATGTACCTCCTCATCCTCATGATTTAAAAATAATATGCCCGCTCATTATTATTAATATTAAATGAACAAACATTAAATTGATGTTCCTTAATTTAAAAATCTGCCGACTTTGTTCACAATACACAATAAATATAATTTAAAACATATTACGAAGTTAATGATATTTAAAAATTAGTAGTTTTGGAACTTAAACTAGTAGTTTTTGTATCATGAATCTATATTTACGGCTTTATGGCATACCAAATCTTATTTCAGACTAACCCATCCATACCTACACCTCCTCCTCCAAAAATCAGGATCCTATCGAATATTCTTATTACATTAAATTGATGTCCCTTAATTTAAAAACCTGCCGACTTTGTTCACAATACACAATAAATATAATTTAAAACATATTACGAAGATAATGATATTTAAAAATTAGTAGTTTTGGAACTTAAACTAGTAGTTTTTGTATCATGGATCTATATTTACGGCTTTATAACATACCAAATCTTGTTTCAGACTAACCCGTCCATACCTACACCTCCTCCTCCAAAAATCAGGATCCTATCGAATATTCTTATTAATCCAGCAAATCAAACCAGTCAGATCGAATTACCTGTACCCTCTACTTTTTCTCTAAATATTTCATATGAAGAACCGCTGACGCCAAAGAAACAAAAAATATTAGATACACTCTCCTCTGTCCGGGCAACAAGTGCAAAAAGAAAGCAAAAATAAAATTACTAAAACGACTACTTTCTCGAAAAGTGAATAAAATTACCAACTTAAAAAATATATTAAAGGATTTAAGTAAAAAACGTTTGATACAGGAAGATGAGTTAGATATAATATCAAAACTTGGGGGCCCCATCGAGATATGTAGCAGGCAAATAAAAAAAAGTCTGACCTACCATTGCCTAAGAAGTATTCAGAAGAGCTAAAAGTTTTCCTTATCTCTCCATTATTACTCACCTGCTGCTTATAATTATGTAAGAAGAACATTTGACACTTGCTTACCACATGTCCGTACAATCAGTCGATGGTATCAAAGTATAAAAGGTGAGCCTGGATTCACAAGTGAGGCTTTCAATGCCCTACAGATTAAATCAAATTCTTCCAATGAAAAAATTATTTGTGCACTTATTATGGATGAAATGGCCATTCGTCAACATGAGGAGTTTGGAAACGAACGTAGAAGTTATGGTTGTGTAGATGTAGGAACGGGTGCAAATGAAACTACGCTTGCAAACAATGCTGTTTTCTTATTAAATTGTGTAAAAGGAAGCTGGAAAATTCCAGTAGGATATTTTTTAATTTTAAGTATGACAGGTGAACAGAAAAAGGGGCTGGTATTAGAATGCTTAAAGAAATTTTATGAAGTAGGTGTTATATTTTTAGATCTGCCATATATGCTAAAGTTAATTAGAAATACTTTAGCAGAAAAGTATTCATTAGTAAATGAAGAAAATAAAATTGTTGAGTGGAAGTATTTCAAACAACTTCACGAATTACAGGAAAATGAATCTTTCCACTTAGCAAATAAGCTAAACTCGCAACATATAGCTTTTCAAAAACAAAAAATGAAAGTTCGTCTTGCAACCCAACTATTTAGCGAAAGCGTCGCAACTGCCTTAGATTTTTGTGCGAACGTTCTACATATTGAAGATTTTAAAAATGCTGGGGAGACAATTAATTTTATTATAAAAATGAAAATTTTTTTTGACATCCTGAATTCACGAAATCTTTCATAATTCAATTATAAGAAACAAGAGTCTGAATACAGCGTAATCTCCTCAACGTGATTCGAAAGGCTATTAAGAAACTGGTATAAGCATGATGCGATTTGATTTGCTCCTCTTCCTGCTACAGCTTCATGCCACATAAAGCAGTGGACCTGATCCACATCACAGTCATGGACTGTTAAATTAAATGTCCATAACTGTCTCAAATAAAATGTTATGCCAGATGAAAGATGAGGAGTCGGAAGACATTGCTGAAGATCAAACGTGATGGTTTTCTTTGATCTGTCGTTTTTTGATAATATCTTGTCTTCTGATTTCGACTTATAATAATCATCAGCCTCTTTTAAGTGTAAATTTAACTCTTCTTGAAGTTTTGCTTTTTCTTCCAGACTAATGGATAAGTTTATTTTCATTTTCAGTTTTTCGCATTTTCCGCAAGTATCTTTGCTTGGTCTCTTAATCCCAATATTCATAGTATGAAATATTTCTTCAAACTTGGTACGACTAATAGCAATGTGATCAGGTTCGATCAGATATTGATTATACAGTTTTACAATTGTATAATATGGGGGTAAATATTTTTTGTTGCTGTTTCGTCTACTGTAATGACTTTGATATAGAGGAACTTTTAAAATGAAGTCGGTAACTTTTTTAATGTCATCATCAGTTTATTTGTTTTTTGGCGGATTTTTTCCTCGAATATCACCTTGGTAAATACCAGAACAGTTGGAGCTTACTTTGAGACTACACAGTTCTAGAAATTTGTTTGTGTCACTTAAGGTTCTACGAAAACATTCTTTGCAAATTTTGTGTTCTATTCCGTTAATTCTGAGGTTATACGTATAAGTAAACTGTCTATTTTTACTTTTACAGTTTATTTTTTCTCTTTACAAGAAGCCTTCTTTTGTTTTTTTAATACGCTCGTGATGAACTGCACACGTTTTTCATAGGAGTCACTTCCCCAATACTCCTTAAAAATAATTTATCTTTCTTCATCCCTAAACTTCTCTCTACATTTCATTCGACAGCTGTCTAATGGTTGACACATTCTTGCCTTTTTCAATTTTCCAGACTCTGTGATGTATTCTTCGCCATGGTTTCGTTTCAGCTTTCTTTCTAGTTTTTTAGATCTGGTCTTTCCTTTAACGGATTTTCTTTGTTTCCTGATTTTATAAGTTCCAGGGTTTTCTTCTTGCACTGGTGAAGGTACCTTCTCTTTTATTTGTGTTAACGCCGATTGCTTCAGCAAAGATAAGGGAGCATCGCTGTTGTTAGAATCTGTATCAGAAGGCAGATATTCATCGTCAGTATTCAGGCTGTCAAAAACTCTAAATTCTTCTGGTATTGAAGGAACGGGACTACTTGAAAAAGAATCTGAAAAAAAAAAGCACGCGAATGTTTTCTCTGTTTATGAACTTGGTACTCTGTGGTACTCCATATATATAGTGTTTACAAAGACATTATAAAATCTAATATCAAAATCTCTACGCCAAATATAAAACCCAAGCAACTTAATAAAACCCGCCAAAATAAATTATAGCCGAGTTTGCTGTTTACATGGTAATTTAACACATCAGAGCTTTTAAAAACACTAAAAACAGTAGACCTGGCAACACCGCATATTACACAAACAGTAATAAAAATGAAAAAGTCCTGGCTCAGAATTCAAATTTAAAATTTAGGAAAAACAAAACAACGAACATCACTTAAAATTATCGATGTTTTAAAAACATCGAAAAACAGCTCCCCCCCCTCCCTCCCAACTGTTTTTTTGAATGCCGCGCCAATCTGACTTTGTAAATACTACAAAAAGGACAATACATTACATGTGTCACGTATTGCAATATAATTTCTTAATTTTTAATTAGAAACGTTGTTTACAAGGTAAAACAATTGGGTAGTATGATTGCTTGTCTATCAGAAAATATTCTCAATAATGTATTGTTTTTAAAATTTTGAGGTTAGAAAATAAAATGCATAACTTTAGTTTTAAATTTACTTACCAATCTCATATTCCTGGTTTTTGTGGCACATGGACACAAGCCGCTTTCTTCTTGACTGCATAGAAATTCACTTAAAGCGTATTTTTTATAAATTTTATTACGAGCGACACTTCTTTGAGCAAGGCTTAACACACACTGAATTGCATCAAAAGGAAACTAAAGCGATATGTAAATGTAAACAAATATTTTGGACCCAGTGAGATATGTTGACTTACCTCGTTATGTCCGTATTCATTTAATTTTTAATTTTGTTCCGGATGAGATAAGTTGACTTGTATCTAATGGAATATTCTATAGGAGATATTTAAACAAACCTCCTTACGAACGTCCCTAATTGACGCGTCTTTGTTCGATCTGACTTATCTTCTTTGGCCCAAAGCAAGGTTTTGATAAATACATCCAAAATCAAGACATATCTCGTTTTGAGCAAAAATGGACTTATCTCCTTTTTCCCCGGCACCACGTAATTTTGTTCTTTAGTTCAAGAACTGTTTCTATTTTTTTCAGCTTCTACTAAACTTTAGTCAATTCTGAAATCAAATTTATCTAAAGTAACACATTTAACTTTAAAAGCTTTATCGGATACTTGATGGTCTAGCAGAATGGATGCAATAACTCCTTTAAGGAATCAACTTGGGGAGGTTTATGATGCTTGAAATAAGTGAAGGAAACTTTTAAAATAACGAAAAAAATTTGGCCACGTCGTTGACCAAAAAATTGCAAAACGAGTTCATTTCCATTCTTTTATTGTAATATAATATTTTAAGTAAAGTTAACATTGTTAGTAAAATTATTTAAAAACTGAACTTTTTTAGTGTTCTAATCATTTAAATAATTTAAATAATTTTTTTTTACTACTAACATGAGAAATCACCATTATTTACTCCATTCCTCTAATGAGAAGTAATATTTCTCTCCCTAGGTAAATAATGATAATAAAAAAAAACCTAGGTAAATAATGAAACTAAATTTCATTAGTTTCATTTTGTTAATTTGACAACTAAACTCCCAGAGTACTTGATATTTTGAAATATTTGAAAAATAAGTAGGAAATAACTAAAGCTGGGTTTATTAAAATCTAATCAAATCAAATATGATAATATATATCAGTGTTAATAGTAAAAATATATATTAACTAGGAAATTCAACACCGGCTTTAAAAATTATTAATTAATAACAATAAATCCATGTCATTAAAATATCAAAAATGCAATGGGATATTTCCTAGAATCATACCAAAATTTGACACATGCCAAATTTTTACATAAATAAAGCCAGTCTGATTAGACACGCTCCAGTCTGCTTGATATTTAGAAATATTTAACAAATTGTTAGGAAATTACTTATGTCAAAATTAAAATTGCTAATACATTTATGTTAGTAGTAAATAAAATTCTATATATACCTCGGCTGAGAAAGCTATTATTTACCTCGCACATTATATCCCTCGGCGCTACGCGCCTCAGGATATAAAAGTGCTCGGTAAATAATAGCTCACTTCTCACCCTAGGTATATAATGTACTATTTTAAACCTTACCGCTCAGATAAAGGTTTTAATGATCTATTGATTGATGCTAAAGAAATAGCATCCAGTTTAGACATAGAACCTTGATTCAAAAAACAAAGAAGTCTAAAATTGTGAAAAATAAAAAACATTTTAATTATGAATGTGACGATGAACCGATCCACGACGTTGATTGTTTTTTTAATGCTCTAGATGTACTCATAATATCAGTGGATGAGAGATTCCAATTAATTTCTTCTTACTCAAATAATTTCGCGTTTTTATGGAATATTAATAAATTTAAAAGTTATTCTGACATCGAATAATTAGTTATGTCAAAAAGTTGAAAATTTATTAAATAACAAAACTTGCGATAAACGAGACATAACTGTCATGGAACTTCTTAAAGAATTGCAATGGCCGCATTCAGCAGAATCAACCGATTATCAAACGATAACTTAGCGATGACTTATAGATTAGTGAATCTCCTGAATGAACTTTTTAGGCACTTCGACAGGCGACATAAAAGTGACATGTACTTCAGAAAAAAGTCATCATCTAAAACATAGGTACAAAATTTAGAATAAAACACCAAATAAATTACTCAACTACATAATTATAAATTAATGTATTTGCCTGATTTTAATGCATTGTGCAACACTTCATTACCAACTACAATATATTTTATATTGTTATAAACATATATTACTTCAAAGTCCTCCATTTCAGTGAAAAATTACACATCCAGTGTAAAAATGAATTAAAATAAACATAAAATAAGGTTATGAGTTATGAGCACCACCACAAAACATTCTCTTTAGTTGGTATGAGTTCTAAATCTAATCACGATGTGATAACTAATCGTATTTCAAATTCGATGTTTTAAATAGCGGTCGATAACTCATCATTTGATTACTAATCGCTCTTTTATATATCATTCAGCAGAGAATCCTAAATCGATTGCTTCTGCTGAATGCGGCCAATATTTACTAAATTTTGATGAAAAAGTTATTACGTCTCCAGAAAAAACTTTAAATGGTATAACAATTAACATCTTAGTAAATACTTTTCCTAATACGAGCCTATAACTTCGTATTTAATTAACAATGCAGGTTTCGGTTGCTACCGCAGAACGATCTTTTTTAAAACTCAAAATAATACAAAATTATTTAAGATCAACAATGAGGTAAAACCTTAGATAAAAGAGACCAGAGATATAACTATAACCTGCGCAAATGTTGCCAATTTCTAAAGAAAGGTTAACGGAGTGGGGGAACTAGGCAGGGAACCGAACTCTGTGACAGGGACCTGACTTTGTTTATTAGCATCATAATGAACTATTAGATTTATTTAAAATATACGTTTAATGGAATTTTGTATTATGAAAAAAATATAACGTGATTTTTTTAACCCAAATTTGCCTACTGTCCTTCTAAAAGGACACCGAAAATTACAGTATTCTTGCCCACATTTCGAAAAATTCATTCTTTATTTAAGAGGGCGCTGATAACAATTTTACTAAAGGTTCCATTTTAACGATTTCTTCAGTCTGTCTGTTTACATCTGATCAGAAGCAGTTATTAAAGTTATTTTTGTAAAAAAATGAGTGCACCAATTGATTTGCTACCAGTAGGGTGAGTAACTAATTAAAGAACCTATTAATAGAAACTTTTTTCATGATATAAGTTATGTGCTGTTTATAAGAGAATGTCTTATTCATGTTTTGGTATTTTTCTGTTGGATAATTTTTTGTATACATTCAAATTAGTAAGTGTTCTTCTAAAAGGACAGTAGGCAAATAAAGATTATTTTTTACAGGGGACTCACCTTAGATGAAATTGTCAGGTCTCTCGAAGAAACCCATGATGACGATCAAGAAGAGATAGAAATAGCCATTATGCCTCCAGTAAATGCTTGCGACTTCCTTACTGATGAGGAGTCTGGGGATGAGGAGCAATTGAGCATCAACAATTTACCTGGATCTCAAGTGCGAGCTCCAGCATAGCTGTTTAGAAAACATTCAATAGCACAATCTACTCCCCCTCCCAAGGCTGAGGCGACATCCTCCTATTCAAGAAAGTGACTCCGATGATGATCGACCGCTTTCAGAACGTCAAGTTGTTAGAAATCAAAAAAACAAGGAGAAAGGTGCCAATAAAAAGAACCGATACCTGGCAGAAACGAGACATTCAAAACCCAGAAGTGGAAGTTCCCCCTATACAAGCTTGTTCAAATGAAAATACTCCAATCGAACTATTTCATTGTTTTTGGGATCACGCCATTGATCTATTTGTGGTACATTCCAGTAATTACGCTGCTCAACATAATAAACCAGCTAATATAACAAAAGACGAAATAGATAGTTTTTTTGGAATTTTATTGCTCAGCGGATACGTGCCGGTTCCAAGGCGCAGAATGTTCTGGGAAAATAATAAGGACATGTGTAATGATTTGGCTGTAAATGCGTTATCCAGAGATAGATTTGAATATATATTCAGCAACTTACATTGTTGTAATAATAATTTATTAGATAAATCGGATAGATATGCAAAGATACGGCCACTGATAAACGAAATGAATAAGGTGTTTCAAATGTATGCTCCTATATCTGAGAATCACAGCGTCAATGAGTCCATGGTACCATATTATGGCAAGCATGGGTGCAAGCAATTTATAAGAGGTGAGGCCATCAGGTACGGTTATAAAATATGGACAGGTACCACAGATAAGGGTTACGTAGTCTGTATTGAAGCTTATCAAGGCACTGAAAGTGAGATTAGAGAAGAGTACCAACAATTTGGCTTGGAACCTTCAATTGTTTTGCAATATGCTGATACGCTTCTCACTATACAAAAGTACCCATACCATATCTATTGTGACAACTTTTTTACAACAATTCCCCTGACAGATGTATTAAAACGCAGAGATATTCGCATTACTGGTACCATTAGAGACAACCGGACATCCAACTGCAAATTGATAAGCCATCTTGAAATGAAAAAGAAAGAGCGGGCATTCATGGAATTTAAGTCAAATGAGAATGGTACAGTTGTAGTGAAATGGAATGATAATAGCATTGTCAGTTTACCATCGAACGGTGTTCCTATAAATCCAGTTCATCCTGTAAGCAGATACTCAGTGAAAGAGAAAAAGAGGATCAAGGTGGATCAGCCAGAAAACCTGTTTGTTTATAATAAACACATGGGTGGAGTTGATAGGGCAGACCATAATATCAGCTTATATCGAGTGGCTTTTAGAGGAAAAAAGTGGTATATTCCACTATTATTTCATATGTTAGATTTGGCTTGCCATAATGCTTGGCAACTCCACAAGACACAACGAGGAAAATTGGATAACTTGTCATTTCGTAGGAGAGTGGCAGCTGCCATCTTGGAACGGCATCAAAGAAAATTTGCCAAGAGATCCCGACCATCGTCCCTGGAAAATATTGATTCGAGGTACGATCGCATGGACCATCTGATTATTACACAAGAAAAGCAAACTCGGTGTCGTCTTTGCCACAAGAAAGTGTCAACCAGGTGTGAAAAATGTGATG